TATAGTGAGAAATAAACGTAATGATAAAGCTCTCAAATGTCTTTGTAATTCATTACCAGGCCTTGGTAGGTGATGCTGTTTTCATGGAAGAGGGTTAGGTTGTGAGGTCAGGATGGTACTACAGCAAGTCAGACATAAGCTACATTTGTTATTTTGGTTTGCTGAGTTCGTCTACATGCACACAATATTCAGAATTAAGCGATACAAGTTACATCTAAAACGAACAACATGATAAATTGCCACAACTAGTCTGGAAGTTTAACCAGGTCCAATAGGACTTGAAACCTCCAGTGCATATTTATTCAATGAGGGAGAATTACTAAATGTAATTCTAAGAATTTCTAACTTTTAGTGAAAAAACATGTCGGACACAAACTATTATTCATAGCAGAGTATTTTTCCTTTTCAGGGATTTGTAATTATGTGATCAACTATGTTGCAGTAAGGCTGTATATAAGGTTATTTACACTGATGCAACAAAGGTGAATTGTAGTCACAGAAACAGGAAGTGGTTGCTCTCTCTTCTGGCTGCCCGTGTTCTGGTGTTAGAATCTTGATCTGTCTGAATAAGTTATTGTTTTGGATCTCTCTTAGATATTTTTGGATGTCTTAAGGTGCCATGCAGGTTGCTTGTAGGATTAAATATCTTCCATGATTGTATTAGAAATGTTTATTATACAAGGGGGATCCCGAGCCTGTGATTGAGAAACCCCGATCACTTGTATGACACTGAATCTTGTCTTGTCTTGACTCTTGAGGTTTTGGATGAACACATGCCGGTGTTTTGAGCTGAAGGGGGTTTTCTATACTGTGGCTGTTTTGCCCTTGTGTGCTACTGACCCAACCTTGTATGTTAGTTGCAATGAGGAGAACCTCTGCTGCAATATATAGGATTACTAGACTGGAATAACCAGCTGCCTTTACAACTGCTATAAGATTACCAGGCTGGAATATCTAATCCGTGCTACCTGACATGCACTTTGAAATCCTGTCATCCTTAATGGATGAGCATATGGGCCTTTGAGGTAGAATTACTTAGATCATGTGCACAAGATGAGTAGAGCACATATTTTGTTACTTTGCCTTTAGCGAAGACAAACAGTGTAGGGAACGCACATGCAGAAAACCTCAACATGTGCTGCATCAGAAAGTCCGAAAAAACATCTGCACGCTGCACTGAGAGCTGCCAGCTAATTTAATCCAACAGAGCTCTTCATCATCTGCCATAACCAATCACTATAACCAACAGCAGTCATAAAGCAACATACACAAACACGCAGGTGGTCGTGATCTCTGTGAGAGGACCAATCAGAGCAGAGCTGGATACTGTGCGATACTCATACTGGAGAATAAAGAAATAAACATGAAGAAAATATTGTAAAAGAACAACATCAAATCTAATACAACAAAAATCAGGTCAAGGTAATGTAAAGTAGGAATCACATACATTATCTACTACTAACTTCTATATGGAAAAATACATAAAAAGAGGAGAGAATGATAAATGACTTGCCCAAAAGGGTTGAAACAAAAGCAGGTACAACCTGGCAATGGGCCATTTGTATTGATACCTACAACATTTTAAACGCGTTAAACCACAGAGAATTATTACTTGACGCTTTGGCAATATTGTCCTTGTGCCATTCGTGCCAATAAAGCATATTGAATGGAATTGAAATTATAACTTATGGAGAGTTCCGACTCATTGTTTAGCTGTCCAGCCTGCAACTTTCCTGTTTTAGTTCACTCTCACTGCTCTCATAATGTCGCTTTAGGCTCTCTCACTGTACGTGCTACACAGTTAGCGACAAGCTGTTGAACAAAGTGGAGCATTTAGCAGCTCAATAACCAGATATTTCCTTCAGGAGTACATGGAGACAGTTTCCAGGTGGACAGAAACATGACTCCAGATAATTGATAATGTTTCTCTGTAACTGCTGAATCGGTACACCATATCATAAAATCTGTCGATGTATGTTCACGACTTGTTTCCAAGTGGCCCCCATAAAAAGAAATTCTGATGTACTTTATTGGAGTGTTTCCATTTGATGTTCGTTTATACTACTACTCAGCTACATTTCAGAGAGTATTGTACTTTTTGCTCCACTACATGTATTTCACAGCTTTAGATACTAGTTTTACACATTTACAGATTAGGAGTTACTGGTTCCTTTAAGACGCTGACCATGCTGACTACGATCTTTGTCGCATGTCATCCCTCCTCTTCCTTCCCTCATTTCATCTCTCTACTATCGCTGTTGAATAAAATAAGAAAAAAAAAACAGAAAACTAAAGTTGATATTAGAAACAAATGATAAAAATTGTAGATTAAACCACCCAAAAATCCAAAGACATCATGTTTTGTTTAAGGGTTTATTTTAGACTCTTTCTATTCATTTATTCATTCATTCATTGGTTGGTTGGTTGGTTGGTTTAGTGCACATTCATTAACATTGCTGTAAATATGCCAGAACTGGCCAAAAGTCTACTTTTCATCTGTTGTCCCTGGACAGATGTTCTAAAGTCAAGCTAAAAAAAGAATAAAATATAAAAATATCAGGGTTTTATAAGCATGCAGAGTAATACTAAAAAGAGAGGAGGATATTAATATTAGTAAAAAATAATACTGCATGTTCAGGTACTAAATAATCTAACTTAATACTTCCTTCGCTGCAGTTCAGTGTTTTTTTCTTATCAGGCGTCATGGCTCAAAGTCAAGCTCTGTAAAAGTGTGCAGGAGGGGTTTGTACCAATAAAGCGTCAGTATAGTTCACGCACAAGCGTGCTGATGGTGAAATTGCTTTGTCGACACATTCTGTTAACGAGTAAGGTGACAGTGTCATAGAGGCTGGGGCTGGACGCAGTGAGGGAGGGAGGGGTGATGGATCGAGGGCTGCGTAAAAGGAGGAGGGACGTTATCCCCCTGTACACGCTGTCAGAAGTCCTGAGACGTGTAACACTGCAGTAGCTGCAGTCCACCTCATCTTGCAGCTCATATCTCACCCCTCTCCCTCTTTTACTGACACAAATCGTTTAGCAGGGGAATGGATTGATTTTTTACCCTCTCAGTCTGACTCTACTCTATGATCCCCCCCACCCTCCCGCTGTCCGTCTTCCTGTCTCTTCGCCTGTAGCAAATTCCATTACGAAGTGACGAGTCATGCCTCAGCTGACTGCCTTCCTAATAACATGTCCAGAACATTGCAGGATCATACGAGAAAAAGAAAAATGCCCCAATATACGTATATGTATACTGTATATATATATATATGGAGTATGTTGAGTCAGCTGAGTGATGTTTGTGTGTGCGCATGCACCTCCCTGCATCCCTGAACTCTCTGCGTTCATGGGACAAAACCTGGACGTTTATCTCAGGTACAAACATGTGATCTTTATATTCACTGATGCACATGAGCGTGATGGTCCCGTGAGGACACATAATGAGATTGTTGGAGGTGACTGTGTGTGGTGATGTATGGCGAAGTGTAGACTGCGAAGTCCTAAAACAGTCTCCTGTGACCTTGAAGCCCTGTGCCTGCAGTGGCGCTGCTCACGCCGCAATGTTACAGCCAACTCCAGGCTGCAGCAGGAGACAAGTGACACGAGGGAATGATTTGTGACTTCAGGCAACTGGTTCTCTTATCAGGTAACACAATATTCAACCTTTGATGCCAAATTGGCCGCCCTTCTGGAAAAGTACTCGATTAACTTTGATTGAAGTTTGAGCTCCTCGAGAGAATTCAACAGAACTAAAAAAAAAAAAGGAGGTGCAGCCTTTCTGTAATTTGAATTGCACCTTTTTATTAGACTCGTCACACTTTTTCAAAGCCACAGAGCCACTGTATTAATCTGACAAACATTCAATAGCTGGCAGGCGCAGAGGTGTTGGAGTTGGCAGGGACAACATAAATAAATAGAAAAAACCCCACATCTGCAGGGTTTTCTTGGAAAGGGACTGTTTTTACTCTCAACACCTACAAATCTATACTAAACAGATCTACGGGAAATGTGTGCCCAGAATAAATGACCTCAGTGAAAGCTTCAAGTGTTCATCAATGAAAGAGATTTTAGTGCAGTGCCTGATTCTTGTTTTTCCAAACAGGAACTGCCGTCCAGGGCTGATTTCTAAAAGAATAAAAAAGCTTGATTGAGATTTTGAGGAAAGATTTGGAAAACATTTTTGACAGTTAAACATTTTCATAGGATATTGATGTGAATAAGACTTCACGTCAGCGTGAATCACCGAGGATGTAAACAAGAGAAAGCTGAATCCCCTGGGTACATGTGCGCTGCTGCAGGTGTTGAGAGCTATATGACAAGTGCTGTAACAGGGGAAGAATACACTATAATCCCCAAGGTGAGGCTGGATTGGATGATCCCGCATGTGGATGCTTACTCTGCCGGAAAGAGGGGGAAAGAGTGGGTCCCACTCTCCCTCCGCCACGTCAAACAGCGATTGGCTCCTGCATTGAGCTTCCTATAACATCCTCACTTTACCCCACTGGCAGAGGAGGGAGCAGGGAGAACGAAGCCCAGAAAACCCCCTCACATTCTAAATACAGTGAGTTTCCTGCGTGTTTGTCTCTGTTTGTGTGTATGCGCGCACACGTGTATGTTTGTGTGCGGGTACCTCTGGCATCTCTTGTTTCGTATAGGGTGTTAAATTACCCAATGGGAGCTTTAATAGAGCACTACAGGCACTCTTGATTGTGAGATGAGGGAGAGATTGAAGGGAGCAAGGGGGATCAAAGCAGAGCTGCAAGGCAAGTTAGAGAGGGCACAACAACTCCTGCAGAGCCGGGGAGAGCCTGGTGAGTGGTGCGGAAATCTGCACACAGCTGGATTTAAACTTTACACGTACTTAAAGATATATTTGCATGTAATTGCGGGTGATAAGAGTGATGTGATGCCAGTGGGTGTTTCAATGCTGTGTAAGATGAGGCTAAGTTGTTCAGTGGGAAGATTTGAGTAGCTATTTAACAGCAAGAAGTTGCCTTTAGACACAATTAAATGTGTCTTATAAGGGTAGATCTATTAGCACTGCTCTGTCCTTTCTCTTCGACTGCGTAACCATTCTTTGCTGACACGGCACAATCAATATGTATTTTTTGCACGAGCCGCATCACAACATCCTTCGATAAGAAGATGCATTCCCACATCCTGGACTGTTACGTTATCTGCGGCAATGCAAGTGGAAATAGAACAAGATGAGTCTCTCTGAGTGCGCAGGGCCCTCGGTGTCAAGTGGACACCGTTGCAGCTTGAAAGCGTGTGTTGGGATTTGGTTACCTCTCTAAACCAGACAAATGGATTGATAAACCGCTACTAAATGTAATGCTGATGGACTGCCTAAAAAGAGGTCGTATTTTTGGTTTTGATGAGTTTCTGCTTCCAGTCATATAAGTGAAACCTCAGAATTTTTTTTTCTTATTTTTAACATGTTCAGTTTCTTAGCATATGATCAGCAATAATGCCAATACCCTGTGTAAGCATTTTCACAACCGAACCTGCAGAGCTTGTGTTTTCGTTTAGTTCATTGGAGAGAATGTCGGGGGGGGGAAAATAACTGTAGAAGCATAGTACCAGATGGCAGGTTCTGTGCTGATGCAAACACGAGCTGACAGAAAAATCTCTTCACCCACAAAACTGTATCGCACTATATAACAAAATATATAACTGCTTTTTTCCCTCTTCCTCAGATTACAAACTGAATCCAAACGTAGCATACAGCTGCCTGAATGATAACCAGGAGGAGAGAGACCCTGCCAGAATCTTCAGCGTGGCACTGGTTGAGGTGTCCCCTCCGTGTCCTGCTATCCAACCAGGCTGATAGGCGGCGCTAGCGACCACACAGGCGATGGAGGTGCCGCTTGTTAATTTTGAGAACATGGACGATGTCGGCATCCACCTGGGAGACCCAAGTGACTCCGGGTACCCGACGTCACCCCCGTCAGAGGTCCCCGATCAGAATCTGTTAACCCACCGTCTGAGCTCTCCTCACCAGTCGCCACGCAGGGGACGACGTAGGCATCATTCTGGTCAAGAAGGGCCGTCGCCATCCTCTCCTCCGACTCTGACCGCAAAAGCGAACTCCAGCAGCGGCAGTTTGATCTCTAATCTGAAGCTCCTGATCAACAGCGAGTCCCCCGCCGACAGTAAAATGGCGAGGGATTGCTACGACAACGAGGACTTGTTTGAAAAGCACTTCATTGAAGAAAAAGACGAGAGAGTTGTCATCAATATTTCAGGCCTGATGTTCGAGACCCAGCTCAGCACCCTGAATAAGTTTCCAGAGACGCTGCTAGGTGACCCCATGAAGAGGATAAACTACTTTGACCCGATGAAAAACGAGTACTTCTTTGACAGAAACCGCCCGACTTTTGATGGTATTCTGTACTACTATCAGTCGGGGGGGAGAATCCGCAGACCAGCCAACGTTCCTTTAGATGTTTTTGCAAATGAAATCGTTTTCTACCAGTTGGGTCATGAAGCGATGGAGCAGTTCCGCGAAGACGAAGGGTTTGTCAAAGAGCCGGAGGTCCTTTTGCCCACCAACGAAATCAAACGACAATTCTGGCTCCTGTTTGAATACCCAGAAAGCTCCAGTGCAGCCAAATCTGTCGCTCTGGTTTCTGTGTTCGTCATCGTCATTTCCATTGTCATCTTCTGCCTAGAGACTCTGCCAGAGTTCAGGGACGACACTAACTTTACCCCGGGTTTAACCCAACTCATCAACGGTACTCAAGTCGGTTCTGCCCCTCATCCCGCCACTAAAGACGTGTTTGCGTATCTAACAGACCCATTTTTCATCCTGGAGACTATTTGCATCATTTGGTTCTGCTTTGAAGCTGGAGTCCGCTTTGTGGTGTGCCCCAGCAAAAGGGATTTCTTCAATAACATCATGAACATCATTGACATTGTCTCCATAATTCCCTACTTTGTCACCCTTGGAACAGAGCTGGCTACGACCCCCGATGAGGATTTGAACTCCAGTCAGAACATGTCCCTGGCAATCCTAAGAATCATCCGTCTGGTGAGAGTTTTCAGAATTTTTAAGCTCTCCCGACACTCGAAAGGGCTTCAGATCCTGGGGCAGACATTGAAAGCCAGTATGAGGGAACTTGGGCTGCTCATCTTCTTCCTTTTTATAGGAGTCATCCTATTCTCAAGTGCTATCTACTTTGCAGAAGTGGATGAGCCCCAGACGCAGTTTGTTAGCATCCCTGACGGCTTCTGGTGGGCTGTGGTGACAATGACCACTGTGGGGTACGGAGACATGTGCCCGAGCACTATAGGAGGCAAAATGGTCGGCACCCTCTGTGCCATTTCCGGTGTCCTGACCATCGCTTTGCCCGTCCCCGTCATCGTCTCCAACTTTAACTATTTCTACCACCGTGAGACCGAGCAGGAGGAGAAACAGGTGGTGGATGCAGCGGCAGAGGCTGCCCTGAAAATGTCAGCTGCGAACAATTATGGAAGCACACCCTCTTTAAACAAAAGTAACGGCACCTGGCAGAATGAGAAAAACGGCACACACTAATAGAGAAAGCATTCATATGTATCAAGGGCATGAAAAACATATCCAGTGGTGAGTTCATCTTTCTCACTCTTTTGTACTCCGAAAATGGCAGCATTTGTGCGTATTATGACAGTATTAAAAGGCCCCGTGTGGTGAGACAGCCTTGACACAAGTTGTCTGTCTGCTTGTGGATGTGTCAAAGTGCAATTAACACAACTCAGCAACTACTGTATAATTATCATCTTTCATCCAGTGCAATTTGAAGAAAAAGGTGGTGGCTCATTTGAGCTATTAGCATTTCAAATGTAGACGGTGAGAGTAAACAAGCTGTAAGTGTTGACCAGAATTATCCTGGAGGGTCTGTATAACAGCACGTTTATCCCACAAGAGAAAATGAAAAAGAAAACGGTCTAAACTGGAAGTATACTCAGAGCTCAAAGTTCGTCTTCCCTTCTTCGTAGTCAGCAAAACCTAGATAGAACTTGGCTGGATTTTCAAGGGCAGGCGAATGCGTCCTGTGAAAGGCAAGAGGATATGAGTGCACACATTGTCTTATCAGCAAATCAATACTTCTCCTTATGACACAGCATAACAATATCTGTGCAATAAGTAGTTGGCACATTTGCACGTTTGCACTTCTGCTATTACTCTTGTAGCTGCAAAATATAAATCTGCACTAAGTAGTTGCATGCAGCTTTTAAAGTCACATGTTATTTTTTCATGTAATCTATTATTTGGCATTTTGTAACCAGATTATCACCTTCTGATTGTATCACAATGTGAATTTACCCTTTAAGAACCATATCAATTCATTGCAATGGAAGCTTATTTTCCTAATATACTGTATCTTGAGCGCTTTTTTGGAGCTTTACACCATCATGAGATGAGATACATATATATATATATATTCATGATCAGACAAAGCATCAGGCTCATATGTATTGCATGGCATAGTGTGCCTAGAAAAGTTCACATTCCTATTATCAGTAACTGAAAGTTAGACATATTCATTGTACCTAAATATATAGTCTTTCAATCGTAATGTGATGATCAATATATTCCATGTGATAGGGAAAGCCAATACCTCAACTGGATTTGTGAAATGATGACAACAAGTGATGAGGTTTGTCTCTCATCAGGAAATTGGTTCTATATATGCATGCCACATTTCGATCTTAAAAATGTACTGTATGTGAGTTTATTATAACTATAAATACAGCTTGTACAGGAATGGCAGTGCGGGTAGTTGTAACACAATCAATGCCTTTCAAATAATCCTACAATATGCAATAACGGAAAAACAAATGTGTTTTTCACCTCTGGAAAGAGCAATAACTAATTAATTAAAATGAAATGGAATATGGTGACATCAGTTAGTCACGTTGGTACTCAGCACTTTACTATGTTATGAAGCACTTAATATTTGAGGACTGTTACTGTACTTGTCAACATTGTCCAGTATACAGTGTCATAATGTTCTATTTATCCTGTAAAGAGTGCCTTCCATTAAACATGTATCCTAACTGTGACGTTTCCCTCTGATGATTTCTCTGATAAATTGGACTTGTGACATCAAGTGAATTTAAAGTTTCCAAACTGCTTCTCTGCTCAACAATAATAGTGATGGATGGAGGTTCCAGTGTGCATGGCTGCAGGGCTGAATACTCATTATCACCTCATGTTAGTTGTTAAAACGCCCTCTCCGTGCTGGTTCTCTCTCTCTCTCTCTCTCTCTCTCTCTCTCTTTCTCTCTCTCTCTCACTGTTTCTCTTCATCTTCATCCAAAAATTCTTCGGAAGAGGGAAAAACAGCAGGGATACTGTTTTTTTTTAAATTATATTTATATAAATATATATCTCTGGTGTTATGGTGTAGGTGGCAGACTGGAGGAGCAGACGTTTTCTCGCTCTGTGTTTCTGTAACAAGACTCATCTAATTAAGAAATGAAGAGGGTAAAACCTGGCTGCAAATAGATGGAAAGATCAGAAAGGATTGTCAAATCATGCTGACATGTTGAGTTGTGTTTGTTGTTGGGGATATCGATCAAATTAGCGTTTTCTTTCTATTAGGTGGGGGAAATCTTGTATTGTGAGCTTGACAATGCCTTTGACTGGGATGCCTTCAAAAGCAAATGCACCAAATTAAATATGCAGACCAAATGAATCATTTATAAGATTATCTATCTTGGCCTTCAAGGCTGGGGGCTGGCTGTTTCATTTGATGCTATACTGTCCCAAACAGTCCCATCAAGGACATATTATCAGTGAATACTCTGAAGCAATGTCTTATTTTGATCTGGGCTCATTTAGTGATTTTAGGATCTCTGAGCTCATTCCTTCCTCAACGAGACAAAGCTGTTAGAAGTCATTTCCTGCTGAGCCTTACTGGCTGTGTTTTTTGCAGCCTGCTCATCTTGCCGCTGGTCAAAGGTCAGGTCAGCGGGCGGCGCCCTTCTGCCCTGCTGATTACTGATCGTGCGGCGACACCACGAAGACGAGGTCCGATAGCATTTGAGCATTTCACAGACAGGTAGCTCTGGCAAGGTCAAAGCTAATGCGAGGCTGTCATTAATAATTCATCGGGTGTTCCACAAAGAGATCACATCCATCCTGCCTTTGATAAAGATTCATCACAAGAAATCCATCCAACGACCGATGTGAGTGTCCAATCACTGTGACACAGCAGGCTGTACAATGCAACCCTTAATGGATCCAAAAATATCCTTGTTGCATGAATCCGTTTGTCCCTTTACCCCTTTCAGAAAAGTAACTTTGGATGGGTCTCACACAAAAGCTCAGGCAGCCAGACTCATATTGGTAGATCGGGTTACTGTTTTGTCAGCAGACACATTATAAGCCAATTTCAGACCTGCACGGACAGTAGGCTGTGTACTGTAGTGCACGCCCTGCAGAGGGCAAAGTCAAAGTTGGAACTGGGCAGCTTGTGTTTGAATTAAATCCCTCTGAAGTCTCCTGTTTCTTCCAGTGACGGAAACTCTCCTGGATGCAGGACAGGGCTATACGGTGGCATCGGGCTCCATCACCGCTGTCGTGAACTTGCCATTACATTTTTGATGAAAGAGCGAATGCAGTGCTGCTCCAGAGCACAGAAGTGGCAGAGCAACCCTCATGGGCTTAACATTGATCAAAGTTCAGCAGTGCTCACCTACAGTATTACTTGAGCTATTGATTTTATGCCCTGACTTTGCTGACCAAGAACATTCAGACTTGGGTTTTGCATTACTGCTATAGCTACTTTATGGACCGCAGGGCTGATTTGATGACGATGGGAAGAAGTTCAGAGAGGTGGACACACCTTGCTTCTTACTGGGGGGGTGATGGAGGATCAGGTATCCTGACACAGTGTGATTAAAAAACACTTCATGTTCGGGAAGTCATTCTGTTTCTTATTTTTAGTTGTATTTGCTTCACACATGCTGGAAATCCTGGATATCACTGAGGCATCCAGCACGTGCTCTCATTTATTGCTGTGTCAGTTTTTAAGAGAATACATTTGTTCACAACTTGCAGAACACTTGACTTGTACGTTACCGTTTCATTCTATTTTATAGTTGGTCATTGGTGCTTTTTATATACATTCATATAATATAACCATACTAGTCGTGTCGATCCTTTATCTTCTTATGTCTAGCTTTGTCATCCTAGCTGTTGTTATATTTCTGTAGATGAAACCAGAGTCAAATGTCTTGTATTGCACATGTACTTGGCAAAGGAATCTGATAATGATTCTGAATATATCTTATAATATTAACTGGGTAATAGTTAAACAGTAAATCCGTCTTTTACCTCCGTTATTCCTTAAATGGATAAGGCTGGTGTCATTCTTTATTTCTCTTATTGTCAACAAATCCCATAAAAAGACAAAAAAACATAAATGAATTGATCCCACTAAAGTAAGGCAGTTATTGTGTTTTCCAGCACAAAATAATTGGGAAAACCATTTAGAAATATATAGATATGGACGAGACAGGGTTATTATCTAACGCCTCATTCCTCTGTGCTACAGGTGGTTATTGTTGTCCAAAAACTATATTTTAAAACGAAAAGACCAGTCAGCCTCAATGTTCTTTCGTTACATGACCGCTGTAGTTTATTTTTGAACTCATTCACACCATCTTGCTGCTGGGAATACTGCCGGATCCACGACTGAAAATAGTCCCCAACAAATACACTCTTTACTAGTATGACAAACCTTTGCTAAAAACGGCAGTGCCCAGCTGTTCTTGAAAATAATTTAGCGTTTTTATATATTGTGGTGACCTGATTTTATACGATTGTAGTAGGAGCCAATGCAGGATTATTACAAACCTCATCATTTAATGTCAGTTATAAAAGGCATTTTCTGTATTTGTGTTATCTTATCATTTTAACTTTGAATTTCCACCAGCTGTTCATTTTTTGCTTTTATGAGATTCAGATGTATATGGAAATATAAAACCATGTTACACATTAACAGATTATCTTTTATTCTCTCCTTTTGGTGACATAACAAGGAACTCCTGCTAAATTTTGAGTTTGTTGCAGAATGACTTTGTTCCTAAAAATTTCCATCATTCAAAAGACATTTTGGTCTGTTTTTAATAACTCAAAGTGACTTAAAGTAACATTTATGATCTCCAGCTCTCGATATGTCAAATACACCATTATAATGAATATCATAGCAAATCAATTAAGCGTTTTGAGTCATTCATAATTTTAATGGAGCCATTGTATTCTCCAGTATCCGTCTGAATATGATTTGTTAGCTCAGTTCTGCTCCGCCTGGATGCACCAGTTCCCATCTATTTTTTTTGTTAAGATTGGAGAGGGGAGTCCCACGAGAGGGCGGGTAATGATTCAAGGAGATAAAGATTTATGACAGCCAACTGCTCCGCTGCAGTGCGCCAGCCCTGGAGGTCAATGGCCAGACTTTGTGGGACGAAACGTGAGTCGCACATTTGTCCTGCTTAACGCCCATGAAAAATGAACAAGGTGACCTGAAGTATCAGCCGGCACCAGACAGGGTTGCCTTCAGGTGACCACAGGCTGCCCTTCACATCTGGGACAGACAAAAATGTTTGCAACGACTATTTTAGAGAGAAAAATGAGTGTGAGTGAGGGTCATCCAGCTGCAGTGCATTACAAAGATGAATCTGGATAATTATTACCTTCATTATTCTCACAATGGAAAAGACTGTACGTAAACCAAAGCTTCCAGAATGAAGACATGTATTCATTTAAATATTAAGTTATGAACTGGGTTATCTTACTTACATTTCACGTAAACATGTATACAATTTCTGTAAAGGTTCATCTAAAATCTTAAAATTAACTGAGAGAGCAAGGCAAGTAAAGAATTCAGATAATTTACTTAGAAGTGCCAAATTTAATATTCAGAGCATTAATAAAGCATCAAACAACTATTTGTAAAGATATAGTGGAGTAATGTCTACCTGAGCAGAGAATGAAGCCACTCTGTGTGTGTGTTGTAATCCGAGTTTCTCCATTCTTTGCTGACATAGCCGGGCCGGCCGCACATGTATGTTAGTGCATGTTAGCGTGCCCCGCTGGCTAGCTAATGGCCACCGCTCTGCACTTTGCTCAGACAGCAGGTAACAACTTAAAACGCCGCATAGCACCCACCTTCTGGTTCCCCTTCCATCCAGGTATACACGGTTAGCTCCGTCAGCATTGTTGCCGTTTGTTTCATTGTTAGCGTTGTTAGCGCCGTTGGAGGCAAGGAAGGTCTGACAAGAGAGCGTTAACATTCTTTAATTTCATGATTAGTCCAAAATGTTCAACGCTATTTCAGAATTGGCCTTGCAGGATTGGGACATTATCAACACCAGCATTGATGTGTTTTATCAAATTGCAATCATATCTTTTAGTTTAC